TAATTAATATTAAAAAAAATAAAAATTAACATTAATTTTATTACTAATATTATATGTATTATTTTAACTAATTAATTAATTAATTAATTATTAAATTTTATTTTATTTTATAATAATTAATACTAAAAAATATTTTTAATTTGTGTTCTTCAAGATACATGACACATGTTAGAAAAACATTTTTTTATATTGATTATATGATAAAAAACAATTATCTTTTTATCTTTTATCTCATATCTCATCTCTATACCATATTACTCAAATCCAACATATCTGTTCAGATAGTTGACTAAGAGACCTCAGTCATGAACTACCTGCACTGATATGCCGACATTTGCCACATACTCTAGTACTTCTGCTAGACTTCACTAAAGCTACCTTACTTCCGAGTTGCCAAACAAGAACTATAGTTCCACTAGCTTAAATCAGTTCTGATAATCATTACGTTACTTATATTATTGACATAATAAAAAAAACACTTAAATACTGAAAGATGAGTAAAAATAAAATTTAACTTGCAATGTTGAATACAAGAATTTGTTCATATTAACTTGTTAGTTCGATATTGCAGGACACCCGTGATTAATAGAAAATTGTCCTTTAATATCAAGGTTTTTCTATTATTTTATTGTATTAAACTACAAAACAAAAGGTTTAATACCCAATTTGGTCCTTAAACTTTCATTTGAGAAATTAGTTTGTCCTTTAACAAATGAAAACACCCAAGTTGTCCTTTAACTTCATTTTTCTGGAACCCAAATGGTCCTTCCGTTGAAAGACTGTTGACTTGGCACGGTTAAGTGTCCAATAATTACAACTTTTAATTTTTAGATGCCTATGTGGAAAAAACACCTCAGCCCAATTGATTACATGGCACGTTTGATAAAATAAAAATAGTAGGATATACATTTCATTGTTTTTCAGAAACCCCAAATCCTTCTTCGACCTTTAAATCTACAATTTCTTCTCCGAACCCTACATTCTTGCTTCGACCCTTAAATCCTCTGCAATTTCTTCTCCAAACCCTTGATTCCTTCTTCGACCCTTAAATTTGCAAGTTCTTCTCTGAACCCTTGACTCCTTCTTCGACCCTTAAATCTGTAATTTCTTCTCCGAACCCTTGATTCCCTCTTTGACCCTTAAATCCTCTGCAAGTCTTTCTTCTCCGAACCCTTCTTCGACCCCTAAATCCTCTTCCACTCTTGATTCCTTCTTCTTCTTCGAACCCTAAATCTTTTACACTTTGTGATTCATTCTTCTTCCCTTGCACCGTATAACCTCTGCTATTTGTCTTTTGGCTTTTGGGTTTGTGAGAATCATAAAATGGAAGCTGGTTCTGCACGGAGTCCGGTTTCAGGTTTTGGTTCACTTGAGAGTGGAAGCATGGCAGATTCTACAGAGTTTAGAAATGAAGATTATAGATGCAATTGTGGATTAAATGTTGTTATTCGGACTTCATTTACTTTCCAAAACATGGGTAAGAGGTTTAGATGTTGTCCTAAGAAGAAGTTAATTTCTCTGTTTTTTGGTAGTGTTAATTTCTCTATTTTTTGGTAGTGGTTTTGGTTTTTCTCAATTGGTTATTTAGTTTACAAGATTTCTATGTAGGATCCTTGCAATTACTTCCATTTCTTAGCTGATGAGGAAAAGATCAAGGGTAGAGCAATGGAGTTGCTGCTGGTTTTGAAAGATATGGAATGCAAAGTTATGAAAGAGAAGGAGAAAATAATGCAAGAAAAAGATGAGCTTCTGTTGGAAAATGGACGATTGATGGAGGAAAATGGGAAATTGTTGACTGAAAATGGGAAATTGTTGCAAGAAAATGTGCAATTGAAGGAACATAGTGGATTAATGGATAGGAAAGTAAGAGTTATGGAGAAGAAAGTGAAGAAGGTGGAGAAGAGACACTCAAAAGCCATGATGATCAGTGAAGTGATTTGTGTAGTATTTTTAATTTTCATTGGTTTGATTTCTGGTGTATTGTTAATTAGAATTACCAGATATTAGGCATGTGAGTCGGTTGTGATTTTTGTAATTCAATGGAAGGGATGGTCTTTGCTGGAATCTAGAATATATGTATATTTGTTGTTTTATCTATCAAAATTCATTCACTTTGTTGGTTAACTTGTTATTGTCTTGCAATGGCATATCTAACAAAATTTTGTAAGGCCATTCAAATTACCAGTTAAAAGTATGACATATACAAAAGGCAACCTGCCACATATGAGACCATATCAACAAATCTGAGAAACAACTAGTGAAAACTAAACACACATCATAGTGTGTTGCTTAGTCTAACAAAACCATACTAACAGAAAGTCAAAAACAAACAACACAGGATCTCTAGATGAAATTTAGCCAGAACTTAAAAGAACACTTATGTTGCTTGATTTGATCCAGAACCTAAAAAACCTCCAAGTGAAGCTTCTTCATTATTCTTCTTCACCATTTTTCTTGCTTCCTGCATTTGTTTTGCTTGTGCTTGCAGCTGCCTTGCAGTAATAAATTGGTAGCCAGTCCCAACTCCAGTGCTTGGTTCCTTTTGCTTGTTTGTTGCACCTGAACCATTTACTGAACAGCCCTCTCCCTAAATCAATGTTCACATTTGTATAAAAAAACAAATCCTACCATGTGAATAATAATTGTGAACAATATCTAATATATTGCAAAACTAGTAGCAGTAACTTACACAATCTGCAACCTTCAAAGTTGGCATTAAGCTAATTAAAATAATAGTATACTCAATAAAATTTATTGTTATTATTATATAAATATTAAGTATAACAAAGATTTATATAAATTTTTTTATATAAATTTAAATAAAAAATCAATTAAATAAGTCAAATAAATTGCAGAGCTTTTAGGGTT